GAATAGTGCAGAGGGCTAGACAGTCAGACACCAGTGTGTGGGTGTGTGTGTGGGACACAGCTGATTGTTTTGTTCAATGCGTTCCGTGGTTAGTATCGCGCAATCGGCATTGTCGACATTCATTCCGTTTCTTCATTCAACTAACGTTGTGCGATTTGCAATATCTTCACCAGTCTGAAATACACTCGTACTATCACCACTTTGCAGACAGGTTACATGTCATTGTTGGGACGTAACAGTGAATGAAAAATATGACCGTGGTTTGCAGTAATCCTTTCTCTCTCCCCCCTCCTCTCAAGGAGCGTACACACCCCCAGCGAGCTAAACTTTTTCCCGGTCCAGATTGATTCAATAAATAGTTTCAGTGAGTATTCTGGTGCTATGTTCTGTGCACTCGGCCATTCACATCTCCGGTGGTGGCTACTGTAAGCACAATGATCGCTAAGTTCATTTATTGTGTTCACTATACATTTCACAGTACGACATCTGAACTCGCTAATACCCAGAAATTCCGTTGAGATGGTCAACGAGGAAGGTATCCTTAACCCCTTGTGATTAAATCATAAACTATGCCCATCGTCGTAATCAGAACATAGATCGCATGAGAGTAGGTGTTTTCGGTGAATTCCTTCTCAAGCCATTATCATCACATTTATGTAAGAAAATAACGGGAGCGTGTTGTGTTGGAGGTTAAATAATTATAGCAAAGAGTATGGGGTAGGGACACATGTATCTCTAGTTCTCTTGTTCAAATAGGAATGGGTTATGTCAGCGTTGATAATTGATTTGGTTTGTCACAACGCTCACGCGTGATATTCTCCACTTTGAGTCAGGGAAGTTTAAGTGACTGAATAAGCCGTTTTTAAGCACACAATTCTGGCTCCTACAAGCAGATAATAAACGATTCGGCTGTTTCTAGCGTTTTAATTTGAAGGCCCTTGGATTTGTGTTGTGCATAGTGATAAATGATGGTGAAAGCCGAATCAGCATCCACCTTATGCCCAGTTTCGACGACGACAACGGAATTGGAAATAACTCTGTTTCCTCCGTGTCTGATCTGTTTATCACTACCAATCAGCTTTGGATTGTTTGAAAGACAGCGATATACTTAAGTTCATGAATCACGCTAAACTGATTACCGATCGCTGCTACGGGGAAAACAATGTTGTCTTTGAATCGGACGTTGAGCTCCGTCACATCTCAATCTGTTTCCAAACAGTCTTGAGCGATTCTTTCACAACTTTCCCACTGTTGAATTAAGCCGCGTTATGATCAAAGCCCTATCTCTCCGTTCAAAACTTTGCTGCCCGAGTCTCAAATTTAACCAAATGGAACGAGAAGTACCATTTGAAGCCTTAGTTGGGCAACCCACTGAGCTTACACCTAATTCATTCGAAGAATTAGAACGATTTAAATCATCATTAGTCACAGCTTGTTATGGATTTCGGCGTTACCAAATTCGCAATGGAATCATCTCGATGTGCTTAGGGAATTTCAAGGAAACTCGCAAATTCTCCTAATTAAGGAACTGACGTCGTTGTGGAGGATCGTGAGGTATACATTTCTAGAACGTTAGCCTCATTGCAGGATGAATAAAACTTCAACCGAGGAAACTGAAAGAACCGAGAGGGGAAATTGCCACCCAGCAACGTTCATTGATCATAATTGGTCTGGAAGAAAACAACATTTGCCTGCAGCTAGAGCTGAGAAAAACGAATTCGATCGTCAAACTTCCGTTCAAGGCCGAGTGCCGCAGTTAAGTTAAGTTAAGTTCAATGATGCCAAACTCAGACGCGTATTCTCGACATCAATCATCATCGAATGTCAGAGCAAGGATAGGTTGCCCATCTGAGCCTCGCCAATACTCATCTACCTATTGAAGTGCACCCGTGGTACCACATAGGTCCTACGACAAGGCAGCTATCTAATTGCATCAAGTAAAATCAACCCATTTGGCTCAGTCACGGATGAATAAAGTTATTCCCAGTTCGATTGTTGCACACTTGGTCGAAACTGGGCATAGAGTGGATGCTAATTCGGCTTTCACTAACATTTATCACGTTCCGCAACACAAGGCCGTTCGAATTAAAACGCTAACAACAGCGGATAAAATCGTTGGTGAAAATAGAAAATAAAAAACGATCTAATCAACTGGCCGGTGATCGAATGGATGGCATGCTTGCGTTCTGCTTGTGAGGTCCCGGGTTCGATCCGTAAATAGGTTGACTTCACATCACAAACGCACTGCGAACGTTTGAACTAGAATCGTGCGTAGAATCTATACCCGGAATAAAAAACAAATTACACTGACTTCAGACCGAAGACGTAAACGCGGGAAACAATTGATATTGAAGTCCATTCTGATAAAATAAGTTGTGACCACAAGTGTGCCTGGGGGTCTTATTTCAACCAGCAACAACTGCACAGGATAGATGAGTACGAACAACTTGTCTTCATATTTTGATCATGTTTGGCGTTAGTTTCTAAGTTTTCCTTCCAAGTACGATCATCCCCACAGAAGGAACAGTTCTTTCTGTTTGGGCAAATCATGTTGTCATTATTGGCAGTCGCTTTGACCAGTTGACTTAATGACACACTGCTGATGTTTCTGCTGCTGGTGGTGGTGGTGAAATGAAAATGATTGCAGTTTTTCAATTAACCATGCTCTCTGATTCAAGCAGTAGAAAACACTGGCATGCTCGCCAAGCGTTTTTTACCCTTTTCGGTTGAAAAGCGCTCATCTCTCCTGCTCATTCGCTCTGTCGGTGATTTGTTTGCCTCAGCATTTTGACTTTGTACAACGCGTTATTGACAAACTCACAGATTGAAGAGAATATTTCCGTGAACACAGCTTATCAACGAAGTCATCATATTCTCTTTACCATTACCTTCTCCCCCATTCTGTCTGTAATCTTGACTTACCGTCCTCTTACTAACGTGAGCACCACAACCAAACACAATTCAGTAGAGTGCCAATGATAGGATGAAGATGGTAATCCCAATAAATTGTTAGTGAGCTGATGTAGAACAAGGCAGTTTTTGTCTGCTTTCTCAGACACTTCTTTGTGACTAACAAACTGAGCTCACGCGTGAAAAACTTCCATCAATATCGGCCTTTCAATCTTTAATGTTTGTTGCACGTGAACTTCGACTATCGAGCTGTGACACATTCCCCGCGGTAATCGTGTTGCGACGTTCCGTGTAATGAAAATCTCAGTCGGTGAACGACTTTGCGATCACACACATTTCATCGAAAAACTCGTGGGCCCTACTATGCACGACCGTACTCTTCATGACATGTGTCGCGCATATCTAAAAGCTGTCTGAGTGTTGTGCTCCAGGTTTCAAGAGAACAGATGGAACAGAGGCGTGAACAACCGAAAGGAAAGATTAGACAGTACAAGTGTCTCAAGGATCTATCTTTTGAAAATTATGATCCAGAGCGTTTCATTTCAGTTTTCTGGCTTCGAGTTGTCCCGTTTTCTACGCATACTTCCATATTCTATTCATGGATGGCTGGAATACGTACCAGTTCTGGTATTGATTTGTGTAGTCCTTATCACCATACTGCATGCGTTTTGGGTTTTATCATTTACCTTCTTGATTTCGATGACCGTTTTTCTCCATTCACTATTCCAGACGAGGGATGTGCCGAGGAAATCCAGCTGATGCTACGACTCAAAAATGTAATCGATCGACAAAAGGTGGAAATTCGGGGCATGCGTCGTCAGCTGGCGCAGAAGAATGTCGATCTGGATGCGGTATGTCTGTGTTTGCATCTCTTGCTCTCCACTTCCTTTTGTCTTTCTCATCTACTCGTTCTTCAACCCCGTCCCATTTTCTTTTGCGGTACCATTTGAGAATTGTTGTATTGCGATTACACACTAAAGTAGGTTTGCGTAGCCGAAAAACAAAAACCCAATGAAATGACCGATTGTGTGCGAGCATATTAATCGATCATTCGGTGCTCACCATTGCTTTTTTATACCCTCGAAGTGATCTACAGTAAAAGAGGTAAACCCCACAATCAATGATGTATTGTTAGGGGGAGCATTCAAGTAGGACTCAATTTGTTAATCCTGATTTTGAAAAGGGTAAGGTTATAAGAGCTTGGAAACACGGAAATGGGAAGAGTGTTCCACAATTTCGTAGTCCTCGGGAAAAAAGGAAGGTGATAGAAGTCCGATATCTGGGGAGAGAAAGCTGGTAACGGTGACTACCCGCCCGAGAACGAGCTGGACGAGAAAAGGTCAGTGGAAAAGTAACCGCTAAAACGAGTTCCAAGGAGCGGAAACCAAAATAATAAAGATAAAAAAGAGATAACCAAGCAACTGCCCGGCGGTGGGAAAGCGACTGCAGGTTGGAAGTTCGTCGATCAGCCGGATGGCCTTACGTTGAACACGGTCGAGGAGAGAAAGGGCGGAATACGAAGCTCCACCCCATACGTGATTGCAGTACTTGAGCATCGGGCGGATTTGAGATTTGTATCAAAGGAGAAAGTGCTAGGGTGTGAAGAAACGCTTTGCGCGGAATAGAAAACCAACTTTGCGCGCCTCACGAGAGGCGAGTGTGAAAATAAAAGAGGACCAACAGAGAGAAGAATTTATGGATAAACTTAGGAGGGGGAGAGAATTTGTGGAACGAAGGGGCAGGGAGTCAAAAATCAATTGAGGAGAATAGGAGGCGCAAACACGACTTCATTGTCTTTACAGAATATTGTTTCATAATTGGTTTGCAAATAATTAGTGGAAATTTCCCTGGAAATACACGACCGGTTTGGCAGTTCTTGCCGCTCGTCAGATACAGATATTTTTGGTTAGTTTATTCAGTTATTTGTACCCAGGAAGTGTATTTTAGAACTAAATATCACCATTATTACATCTTGTTATTGCAATATGGATGCCTTGGTTCGAACCCAACCGAGGTTACTGAACGTTTGATAATTCGAAGCTTAAACATACATTTGCATTTGTATAACTTGTGTAGGCATATATGCTTACATTTCAGTTAAAAATGTACACTGTTCGTCACGCAGAATGAAATAATAATAATAGTAACGAAAGGTAAAGAGTGTCGGTGATATTTGTTTATGTACAAATCTGTTGACGTAATTCATTTGAGACCTGTTACTTTTTGGTAAGTAGTCGGGCCAGGTAGGGTACAGGGGAATATTTGTAAATGTTAATGCGAGAGGGTAGAATTCGAAATAAGGAGCGTGTGGACGGATGGGAACAAGACGGTGGCTTAGGGTGTAGTGGATGAAGAGCGTCATCTAGAATTTTATGAGCAAATTTAAAAGAAGAGTTGATGTGACCGCCAATGAGATCTGTGATTAATGAACCGATTGGAATTAATGATGCACGACTGCTGGTCACCAAACCACGGCAAATTGTTTTGAAGTCTTGTTTTGAAAGACCGGAAACACTACAGAGGAGCAATAGAGTAGAATGGGTAAAACGCATTGATGAAGTAAGGATAACAGGACTGAGTGTGGGGTTCGCAATTGTCTGAGTCTGCGTAACTGAAAGGACAGGCGTCTCAGTTTTTCCAGACAGTTGTAAATATGTGTAGACCAATGAAGATTGCTGTCGATGGTAACACCCAGGTACTTGACTGTGGTCATTCTGGATATAGGTTTACCATTAAGGGTATCAGAGTTCGTTGGAAATGGGGAGTGGAACAGACTGAAAATACACTGTACGCACTTAGATATGTTAAGAATGAGACCAGATTTGTCAGAAAAATGTTGGATATGGGATAGGTTTTCGGTAAAAGAATGAAATTCCGAAAGAGATAAAACTGTCTGACAAAATGTCATCATACTTTTGGATGTGCACAAGGGGTGGGACTGAAAGATCACTAATAAAGGCAGAGAAAAGATATGGAGACAGAACAGCACCTTGAAGAACACCAGACTTAT